GTGGCGTCCCCTCGCCCCGATGATAGATGCACGCGCCGAACCATCGCCCTCTCCGCGGAGACGGTGCTGGCCCAACCGCACATAACGGTGGCCGAGACGGCTCCTTTCACTCGCCGGCCCATCCACGTTAAATTCGTTCAGAATACAAGGGTGATCCTAGGGAGCAGCACGGGGTACATGCCCTCTAAAAATATAAAAATGTGCTGAGGTAATATTTACGATATTACTAAACGTATATGAATAAACCGAAAAACGTAAACCCATGTGAATAAATAGTTCAGAATTTGTTATTGACTTCTATATTATGAACGTTTCTGACAACTCGTGCGTATTATTACGGTTCCCACGACCTGATCCCCCAAAATCAAATGGAAGATTCAAGAAGGTTTCATATTATAGATTAGAGCTTCTAAAATGAAACTTGTAGTCTCAAAAATCTCATTTTAAGAGAAAAGGACACTGCGATTCAACTTACTGCACAATGTTAGTGTGTGTTGGAGATTGCACACGTGCCTTCTGATTTATTTATAGCATTATATACAAATTTCTAAGTCATTCATCTTAAATCTGATTTGGGTTATTCCCGATTTATCATAACAAAGTTCACGAGGTTTTGTGCCCGTAACGTATAAACTGAAAAAATTATCTTATCTAGCATATTGTGTACATTGAATATACTTCGAAAATATGTTACTTGTAATTGTATTTAAAAAATTTAAATAAATGAATTTTCAATATATAATATTTTAAATGTTGACTTCGACATTATATTTAAATTCGTAGAAAATAGTACGACCAGTACTAGAAATAAAAGAGGAAAATATTCATAGAAAATATAATTTTAATATACTTTATTTTCCAATTGTTTACAAATGAATATACACGAATTGAAAGGAATGTATAAAATAAATACTTATTAGCTCAAGTAAATGCAATTACAATGTGCGTCCTTTAAATTTTCTACGTATTTTCTGAAGCCGCACATATCGAAATGTTATGAAATAATAATGTTTAATATGACCAGAATTGAGTAGGATTGTAGGCATTGTTTAAACTGGTATTAGTCGAAACCCTTACCGGTTGCTTTTGTTTTGTTGCTATTTCCTAGATTCCTCGACTTTCATTAGACATTCAAATATTTCAAAGCGACGTAAAACTGATTGATTTCGGTTTCATGTAGTTCCAGAACAAATAGAGCTTGTGTACATCGTCAACAACCAAAATCCTACAAATGGACGTGCAGTTGTAACATTTGCTTTGTCTAAAATTCAATACTCAGCTCTTCGCGCGATTCACAAATATAGCAACGTGAGGGGAATAGTCAATGAAATCATTTTGACAAGGAATGTTGGTCCAATCTAATTAGTTCCTTCATTTTGCTTTGCCTCCAGCATCAGCTCCTGATAGGTGATTGTGGTTTTTGACGGTCTGTCAATGTTTTGTTTACGTTTTGCATTGGAAACAGTTTGGCCACGCCCAAAATACATTCAGCTTTCAGCGGAAAATGGATTACGCGGACGTGCGGACAATCACCCATACAGGCAGTCAAAGGCCAAAAATTTCGAAATTAAAGCTCGCGAAGAGAAAGTATATCAATTCATTAATTTTAAAAAAAACAGTTATTTGTTCATTATTACTTCATTGTGTTTCGTTGTACTTTGAAAACATCACCGTCATCATTAGTACCGTCTTAAAAATAAAAGTATTCATGGAAATACAATAGACTTAACAAATTACAAAAATTTTTTCTTTCATTATCAAAGACAATACGTTTTTTGTTCACCAGAATGTTTCATAAGAGTAGAATATTTCAAAAATGTAAGTAAAAAATTGTCTTGTATTAATATATCAATATTTGTGCACTGAATGAATATGAATTTGTACATGTACTATATTTTACTTGAATTTTAGAAATAATTTATACTTCAGAAACATTCTGGTGATATAAAAAGAAAATATGCTAGCTAATAGGGGAAAAACAATTTTCACACACTAACTTTATACCAAACATCATCAGAGTGTAATATTCAGTGTCGAATAGTGTATACTACTTTTGAGGAGAAAATAAATGGTTATGATAAACTACTTAAAATGAAAAATAAATAGCGTCGACTTGCGCCAGGATAAGAGTCAACTCTTGGTAAGAGTTCCCTTCACTAGTGCTTCCGCCAGATCTCCTCGCAAGATTTCACCCGTGAGCCATCCTTGGCCCTTGACTCATCGCATCACAAAGCTCCTTAATGCGTTGATCTATTTGGAAAGAGATCGCTAGATGGCTGATCAAACCAAGAGAGAAATTCCTCCCTTCGGCACATAAGGCTCAATTAAAAAATGCTTTCTCTTCTGGCTACAGCAGTGCTGTGAGTTACGTGCAATAAACAAAAGACGGGAAGAAAAGCTAGAGTTTCTTCTAAGAACAATTACGGTAGTTTTCACAACACTTAAGAGAGTGAGTAGTTTCAAACTCTATCAAAGTAAATTCGTCAGAGCTATCAACTCAGTAATTATGTACGCTTTCCTCTAATATAAAAGAAAATATTTTTAATATGATATATTGCAACGGAACATGATGTCACTTGCCGCAACGCGCGCATTCAACAAAGGATAAGTTGGAAAGGTCAGGGCGGATATAAACCCCACGAGAATGTCTTCTAGCGTAGGTGTCACCGACTACGTGTGAAGTCATTTCCGCTCCGTCGTCGGGCCCTACCTGTTGATTATTCTAATTTTCCCTCCCAGGATAACCTGCTCGGGAATGACACGGGAAACACATACACAGAATAACAACGCTAAGAATTCCCTTCGGATAAATCAACTTCATTAAAGTAATAAAAAACAACTAAATCATTTAAATAAAATCACAAAAATACAATTTCAATGGACTTGAAACAATGTTCGAATACATAATGATTTGTCTTTCCTTCCTTTCTTCATGGAAAAACAGTCAGAATAGAAATTAATGAGCTCTTTAAATTATAACTTTGAAACATAGTTTTACGCGACCAACTGACGCGATTCTAATTTTCGCCTTCGCCCTTGCCGGCGTTCCTTAATAATTTATTACAATGACCTTTGAATTTGCATAACATTAACTCAAACACGTTTACAAAAATTGTTTTAGATAGCACGAAATTTCAAACACTTCGTGCAAACAACTAAATCCTTTTAATTTGTAGTTCAGCAAACCATGTTATTTGCGCTTGTGAACTACAGCAACTTTAAAGATTCCTTCTGATTTGAATTTCAGAAATGCCTATGGCAATTTGCATCAACGTTGCACACTTTCTACAAGTTCTGTGATCTGTACATTAATTAAGTTTACGGGTACTCACGTCGACTGCGGGGGCGAGCAACTCGTGCAAACGCTGCCTTCTTTGCGCAGCGCTCTAACGGGACCACGAAGCGACGCCGGCCCTTCCCGTGACCTCGCTGCCTCTCGTTGGAGTGGAGGACGGCGGCAAGTTGCCTCGACTGCGTTGAACTAAGCCGTCCTGCGATGTCCTCGCCTAGCGCGTACAATCCCGCCTGCTTCACCGTCGCTTTTGCGGTCCTCCAGTCCTCGTTCCGTACTTGTCGGATGCGAAACGGCAATGATCCCGTTCACGTTCGGATAGTGCGAGGTCGTTAATTACTTAAATTGGCTCCCCTTTCGTAACTATTGGCTGCGGGCACTTCTTGAAATTCATTTACATCGGCGGGGGAATTGCTGAGAAAGGTGAAAAGCTAAACACAGTTATTTCTGCAGATTCTTGTGTTTGATTTCCCAGAAAGCGCTTACAAGTTCACTAGATTCACTATTGTTCTCGTAACACCACATAAAGTAATTACTTCGCAGATTTGCATAACGAAAAGATAGTATCGTTCACGTCGGCAGATCTTAGGAGAGTGTCGCAGAGATGTCCGTTGCGGCCACCTCGCTTGACCGGCACCAGCCAATGACATTTGTAGCGCTTATCTGCATCTTTCGTATTGGCGGCGACCGAACTGGACACACGTTTAAGTTCTGCGTCGAATGAAACGTCATATCTTGACGTCATTGCGTGCGGTGTTTGAATGCACGATTGCTTCTATGGGACGAATGAACGTTAAATTTGGGTCAATGTTATTTTAATTTATTACGTAAATTACATTAAGAAGAATAATATATAAATGGCTTCTCCCTCTTCTCTGCTCTGAGAAACCACCACTAGTAGAAAGAGTACTACAGTAAAGGACCGATTTGACAGCTACTGCTTGGCTGCTGTTGATAGCCTAACTGCAGGTTACGCCCATATGCTATTTTAGTTAATGCGTTCGTTTACAGTTGACTCACTTGTAAATGCTTTTGACACAACTTCTTGTAACAGGACACAACATTCCAATTTTCGACACAACGTCGTCCAACACTATTTAAGGTTGCATCACTATCTACGTCATTAGCGACCTCTATTGAATTGAACTGAAAATGACATGATATGATGATGATTGGAGGTGAAAGAACGATCACAAGTACAACCATGCCCGAGGCGGGACTCGAACCCGCGATCCTTTTGCCCGAGATCGCCACGGCACTGCTGCCTTAACGATCTCGGCCATCCGGACCGGCCAACATGGCTTTGTTTTGTTTTCTGACCTCTTAAACTGGTTGGTTCCTTCTCAGGCTAACTTCTCTATAGTCTGTGGACCACATGTTTCCCGTAGAGATGGAAGCATCGCGGATGAGGATAACAGCTGCCATGGGAGGTGCAGAAAAATGTTGTGAATCGCTAGTGACCTTGAATTCTATCGAGTTGTTGCAATAAGTAGTGGTTGTCTGAAGATCCTAACAGCACGAATATTTGCCATTATACTGACATTCTACAATGAGAAAGACACACATTCGGGTTAATAGAGCAATTCACAGAATACACAATACATTCTTAATACACAGAATCTGTAGTGGGATGAATTGAAGTGAATAATACGCAGTTATTCAGGGCTAAATAAGAGCAATTCATACATATTAATTCATAGATATTCAGATCTCAGTTGAATGGTAAAAAACTGTTGTAAACAAAAAAAATTACGTGACAACTACGCGACATCAGGAATGAATAATAGTAGAGTGGAAGACGGTTTTCGTGAAACACATAATTGTAGTGAAATATTTATAATTTCTTTCTACGCAACTTGCCTCTCAAAGAGGTTGTAATAACTGCACAGCCACCAATGTTGGTCAGTCGCAGTTCACTGTGGAAATTCTATCTCGCGAACGCTGAAGCACAGTTCCGCAACGTGCTTAAAAAATCCGATAAATAAACTATTCCCAAAAGAATATCCCGTCAACAAAACGACCGAAGTATAAATCACTCACAGAGAGTGATCAATTACTGTTTGGCCGCAACTCTGTCCTTTGCAGGAAGCGAATACTATTTTTGAAATAGGAAGCATGCAGCGGATGTCAATCTTTCGTTGGCAGTTGTGAACTGCCAGTTATTCCCCAATCTCTTTCGTTTATGCTCATAATAATTCAAATTTAAAAATACATTATTTTTTCCAAAATAACAAGTATAACTAATTTATTTTTATATATTCTGCCAATGCCAAAAATATTCAATTTTATGGATTTTGAACAGTCCGTAAAATGCAACCTTGGGAGTAAGAGTATAAACACTAAATTTATTGTTTAAAACATAATACAGTCTTTTAATTTTTCCTACAATATACTTCTCCCTTTGTTCTTTTTTTGGGTCAACGTTATCGATTGGACCTAAAACTAATAACTAACTATTATATCAATCCTGTTGGAATTTTTTATTCCAATTGAACTGATATTTACAAAAATATATGACGTATTTTTGGGAAAGAATAAAAAAGTGTATTTGTTTTTATGTACGTTATAAATAATGTCAAAGCTGATGTTTTTAGTGAGAAGTAACAACATGATTTTCTACAAAACGAATAAAACCAAGTCACTCCCAATACAAACAGTATTATCGAAAAGGGGGCTCTTTATTATAACTCAAACATTGAGGGACCAAATGCTCGTCCGTTGACCTCCGATGAAAAACTTTTCCTTTCTAATCAATGTATGCGATATATTTTATTGGTTTCCTCAAAACGTCGGTGATATTTGAGCTTCTGACTGCCACAACATGTTACAACTTTATGAGTATTACATTTTACGAGCCATATTCTACATTTACAAAATTTTACGACACAGCATTGTTTGAGCGAGATTTGTTTTGATCGTGTATTATTGGAAGCAAACACGAAGCTTTGCGACGCGTCTATATAATAGTGAATTGACGTCTGAAAACTAATTGCCATTATAAACCACAAATGTTTGTAACAGTGATTCAGAAAATGCCAAAACTGTTTGTATTCATTGAGAGGATTAAAGCATTAGTGTAAACAAATCATTCTTCTAGTTTCCGCTTTCTTGTGGAGAAACGCCGGTATGCGATTTAAGTAACTTTATAATTGCTTACTGTAATTTGATCAAAAATAGCATTGATAATTTTCTCAATTCAGTCAAACCTCAAATGGAATACCAATAAAACTGAATTGAACACTAAATTAAGTTCATTATGCATTCTTTAAAATTCTGTCAACATTTTTGCGGTTCATTGAGTGTATTTTGTAAACTCCCGCCTGATGTATGGAATATTATTCTGAAGAAGCTCATCCCATAATACCCTGACTTTTAGATTGCAGAAAAAAATCGAGTTATAGGCAAATTCCATCCACGTGATTCCTGAAATCTTCTCTTCATTGAGCTTGGAAGCTTACCATTGCCTTGCCTATTTATTTACGAATCTGATGAAGTTTTATCAAAACTGACATGCTTATCGATGTGAGAATATTTTCATGCAACATTGACATTTATATTTACAACACAAGTCGTAGAAATCACATTCATAAGGTGTCAGCTATCTGTCTATTGACCGACAAAGTGGCTTTGGGTATTGTACTACTTTAGCTCTATCCTTTTTTAACAGTTCACTGATAATATGTAATCGATACCACAAGAGTTAACCATTCATAATTATTTTTAAAGAAACTCTTTCCCAGTACATGTCATTTTGCAAGTTATCTTTCCAGTCTGGATCTAAGAAAGGGCGTCCAATTTCTTTTACCAACTTACCTCAGAGAAAGACGAGCAGAGGACTACGGCTCTTTACAAAAGATAAAAAGTAATGGATAATACTCGCGCAACTTTTCTTGCACGATGACATTGCTTCCCCCTATCTGTCACAATAAACAGTTGAAGGCAAAAGCTTGCAGTGAGTACTGATGACAATATCCCAAACAAATCTTCACTAGCGCAAATTAGAAACAATTTTCTTTTGAAGAAAAGAATTTCTGTCCGTTATTATCTCCAAAAAAAATTAAAGAAATGACCGAAGCAGAAAGATCTATCACAGAGATACCTGAAACTCTTGAGAAAGTTAGATCGCAAATAATTTATAAAGTTGCGAAGGCATGGATGATTCTCCAGAGATTGGTATTGCTTCATAAAATCTAGTGGCCGATTTCGTAACAAATACCTCTACTCTATCCTCATGTCTTCAATCCATCGTTCAAGAAAAGTTGCGCGAGTAATATCTTCTGCTCTTTATCCCCCTGTTTCATCCCCACTGCTTGAAGTGTCTTGTTACTTCTGTCGATGCTGAAGACTTCTGGCCTCTGAATGAAAATGAAAATATTGATATTGATCATGGCAGATGAGTAACAAAAATTATTTAACTTGGTGATCTGTATTGTAACCGTTCATGCATTCACGTTCATGAAATACTTCGCTGTCCACTCAAATGAAGATAACAACTGACTTGCGCAGTGTTTGACAACCTCCAGTACTATGCGTAGTAATGAAAAGATCAGCGGAGTATGTTCGATATCTCCATCTACCTGAACGCAACGCTTGAACGAGACACGAGATCTGATAGCCTCACTTTATCAGAACGCTGGAAGAACAGGACGCTCTCGCTAACAGAGAAGACGAAAGGTCTGGAATATATTTCAATCGGTTATAAAATAATACCAGGAAGGTTTTAAATACGAGATAATTATTCTATCTACAGTATTGTTCTTTGTGATAATTATTCGTGGGATTTTGAGAAGAAAATATATGGAATTTATAATGTGAATAATATAAGCACGTGAAATGCACCACGCCCTTACTTCAGTTTTCTCTTTCACAGCCTTTTCTTTTTCCGTTTTCGTATCTTGTTTTTATATCTGTTTTTTTCAGTTTTCTATTTTGAATATCATAATTCCATCCCCTAATTAATTGATGTAGTAAATTATTGATGGTATTACTTAAAAAACAAGTTAGAGCTGATTTACGACAGCAGTTCCGAAACCCATACACGTTCATGACTACACGTGGTAGGAGAGGCATTTGTACGTGCTGCGGGTTACCTGATCTGCATCTTCCGGTGAGAGTCAAAGCTCAATTACCTACCACAAAGACGAAATTGGAAAGAACGACGCCAGAAGCGGTGTAATTCGAGAACAGGTGCGGCCCATGGATTACTGGAATTCTTCACAGAAGCATTCAAGGCCCGCGCCATTCGTTCCTTGGATTTTTGCAGAGTAAGGCTCTACGTTATTCCAGTATTTAGTCATGTGTGGAGGTATTTTCATCGTGCCAGTGCCCGCTGTAAGTGAATACCTCTCAGGACAGCCAACTTCGTAATTTGAACGCTCTGCAGTCAGATCCCTACAACGTTTCTTTTTAAACATTTACCAAGAGGAGAAAATACCGCTATCTGTGCTCGCCGCACTGCCAAGGTCGCGCAGTGTTTATTATGCAGATTCGTAGAGGGGGAGTAGAACATTCAAGCGGAGATCAGTGGAACTTTCTAAGACAGAAGTTAGAATATTTCTAAAGGAAATAGAATGTATTCTAAATTGAGAGAGTATCTTTGAAGTAATTTTCGATATTATTCATTATATTTCAAGCAAAATCATTTGTAAATAATTTAGTTCTTAAAAGAAAAAAATGTGTATAATGTCAGTATGAATTCATATTTATGAACATAACTGTACGTAAATTTTGCTTATATATAATTTTCTACTCTGTTTGGCTTCATAAAGGCAAAAACTCTTTCGTTATTTCAATAGTACTTCCAATTGTTAAACAACGATGTAATTTACTACATGATAGAAATTTATGAGAAGGAACTTGTGAATACCTCAGAAGTCAAATTTTGTGTAAAAATTTAGATAGCACTGTTACAGTTAGGAAGGATTCTTAGAAACATTTTGGAAAGTGTGTTTAAGAGTATGTATTTCTTAAAACGGTTTCACACTTCTGTTTTGTTGTGTAGCAATGTAATCATCTGACAGTGCTCATTTTATGTGAGTTTTTTAGATGGTTTTTATGTGTGATATGGCCAAGGTGGGATTCTGGGCCATACGCCATTGTGGGATGCTACACCCTTACTTGTAGTAAACCACTGAGTGTTATGTGAAGCTCAACAGCATTCAGTGAATGCGGACCGCGCAGGAGCAGGTGGGGAGAGTGCAAAGAGCTTGCACTGAAAAAAGTGTGCGTGGGCGCACACACACCGCAAGGGATGGCAGTACCAATTTCAATTTATTTGGTATTAGATATGTTATTGTGTTATTTCTTAAACGTATATTTTAAACATGAAATTAAAATGTCGGTTTCTTGTTTTCTCTTGTATTGTCCATTTAATTTAAGACTTTTGTAAAAAATATGTAAAAACAGTGTTGTTAACTGCACTTCATATTTTCGTGTCCGTCGTGCCCTATACCTATTCGTATATGTAACACAAATGGTGTAATTCCACTGAGTTCCTTGAACTAAGTCTCAACAAAAATATCAGAATCGGATTATTGAATGGAAATGACGATATTGATGTTAATGAGTAAAAAAATGTGTTTACCCGTGGTTGACGGTTTCATTTCACTGAATAGAAATAATATTAATGTTGATGGTAAATAATAAAAATTATGTAAATACAGAGTAGTGAGATGCTTATATTTCCACATATAATTTACCTGTTTATATCATAAGTGGTGTAACTCA